TTTTTTAACAGCGAAATCAATAAATCGATGGCAGTGATTTGATCGGATAGATCAATTTTAGCTTATCATGAGCGCTGCCTTCATGATCTTTTTTCAAGATTAAGTTAGTGCACGTACTATGATAGGTTGCGTGAGCTCGTTTTCTCGGTTTGCATGACTAGACCTAATGTCACACTTCTGAGGTATTTCAATGTTCATTTATAAGAAATTTTCATATCTTAATTGGAGCTTTTTCATTTTGATCTCGCCGGGGGCCAGCTAGAAAGTTCTCTCAGGTAGATCATATCGGAATTCAGCTAATCAAAATCGCTTGACACCTACCTCGACTACCACCTCTCAGACGTCCTGTCATCGCAATATGACCTGCTTACTGCCTTTTGCTCATTACTAGTTAAACCACTCAAGTTAAACCTTCACAGCTTACTTTTAACCCCGTAGCTAACTTTTACCTTCACACCACTTCTTCCAAGTTGTGCGTCTCTCTCTTATAAGAATCGAAGAAGAGTTTCGATAACGAGGGTATTTACTTATTTGCTTATCAATTTATTTGTTATTTGCCTATTTATTCCCTTAATCTATGCAACTGTAACTATTCGTCTAGCCGTCCTATTCGTTTTTCCCATGCAGTACCTTCTTTTTGTATGTTACTTGTGTATTTACTGGGATACTGATCTTCGCCGTACTCCATCCATTCTATTGTTTCGATTCTTGGTTTTACTGATATTTTCGGCAATTTTTCGTTCGTTCATACTCCCTTACTCCTATTTGGCCCGTTCATTGACAGGAAGCGAATGATTTCGGTTAAGGACCCAAACAGGGGTAAAGGAATGTGAAAAAAATTGCAATTGGATACTACTCGTTCAGATATGGATCAAGCTCGAATGCCCGAACTGCTGCCTCCCCTCCCAGATAAGTCGGATCCTATCAGTGGCGATTTGAACCATCAATCAACTGGACAACATCTTCCCTACGATGTCTTGATCGCCCGGTCCGTGAGCGTTAAGAACTTCTTTTGACAATTTTCTGTTTTTCCAAAGTAACTTTGAATTCATCCGGTGACAAAGTGATGACAAAGTCAAGCAGCAGACTTAATAGTAAATGAGGATTAATACACAAACAAGATAAATAAGCACATAAGTAAATAAATAAATATCTCACAAGGTTGGCGATTTGTGGGCATCGCAATGCCATTTGCCCACAAATCGCCAACCTTGTGAGACTTTCNCTTCGCGCACTGCGGCGTTAAAACAGCAGTTAACAAAACAAAACATCAAGTCAAAACAATAAATAAATAAACAGCCTCACTGCGAAGGCTCCTAGTTTATCCCAGTAACTCATTCTTTGTTAGAACTCGAGGTTCATTAAAAGCATTGCATGAGGTGAGTATTTTGATTTCAAGAATAAATGTGGAGATATGAATGAACAATTTCTAGAAAAAATTTAGAAGTCAATAAAAATTGTAACGTTCGAGGTTGTTCCGTTTTCTGATTGATTGATACTATTGCACGAGTATATGGTTAGAGATGAGGGGATTTGGACGAGTTCCTACTTCTAAGAATCACTATCAGTCCAAAGATATCAATATTTCGCTTATTTACTTGCTTCTATCGCTTTGATTTCGGTCTTACCTAATACTAGCTCAAGGTGACTTTATGTGATTCACCAAAAGTGTCTATGGCCAAATGATAGTCGTAGTAGCAGAAACTCGGGACCAGAATCCTTCCGGAAGAAGGAGGTTTCAGCGGAGTTAGTCCTGAACGCCTTTCACTTTCCGTCCTTGTATATTGTGGTCGCTAGAGCCCACAGTTGTGGATCTAAACCGTTCCGTAGGGGATCACCCCATTCAACTTATTTTGCCTTTCCCTAGCACGAGGTAATCTGGGTGGTTTTAGTTAGAGAAGGTTGCCCTTTCGTGTGGAGTTCCCAAGGTGATTGATATCACGACAACCATCAGGTCTCTTTTTCAGAAAAAGGGCTCTGCGCTGTACAGTCCTGACGGATGGGACAAAGCTGCACAGTTTCTACCCACGTAGGCTTTGTCTTAAGTAGTCAGGCGAAACGGAGGGTTCCTGAGCGCTTTGGATTGGCGATGAAGGTCTATGGAAAGGCAACCGGCCCATGAAGAGGGTGCTCGAAAATTCGTATTAGGTTGCGATTTTTCGTTCCTGAGAAATTGATCATTTTGCTAGATTCCGCTTAAAATAAGGGGAGAACTCACGAGCCATCAGTGAGAAGATCTCCTTCACTTGCTCGTGTGGAAAGCACAGCATCTGACCTAAAAGCAATTAATTAGCCTGAACAGCTTTGCGAGTGACCATATAAAAAGTTAATTGTACTGCATGCTTAGTTGTGCGATTGACTACCGATTGTCTACCCGTCTGCTTGACATCACTCCACTAGCTTCTTCAATACATACATGGTCAAATACCCATCAGAGAGAGAAGACCCTCTTTGAGAGTGGCCCCATTTTCCCCAGCTCCCAAATGGTTCCACTTCTTGAACTTTTTGTTTTTTCTTGGCTTTTTGGCAAGTGATACATACATACATTACGATACATTATGCATATGTGCTCTCTTTTTTAGTTCCTGATACCCATAGTTTCTGTTACTCCTAGTTCTGCCTTCGATACCAAAGTTTCGGATTCGGGAGAGAACTTACGATTCAGTTATAAGATCTCGATCACACGCTCGAACAGGAAGCACGGCATCTGGCCTGAACTATTTTCATGCTCTTCTCTTTGAAATAACCGGGTTGCTGTACACTTAATGTGAATTTTGCTAGTTTTTGTAAGTTCGGCATAGGTTTCATAGATAAGCGGGAATGGCGAAGCCCACTGATGTGATCTGTAAGCTCGTCCACACCGGGGTTTCTTTGGAGCTCGCCTGTGGAGTTCGTTCTCGCCCAGGATTCTGACCGTACTTGAATTGTATAGGGTTTCTGTCGTCTGATGTGCTGCCCATTTACTACACAGTTGTTATCTGGGAAAAGTACCAGAAGATTGGGTGAGGATGCAGAACGGCACCTTCCAGATGAGGGGAGAACTTGTTGCAATAGTTTGTGCAAGCTACAGTACGCCTCTTCACCGTGGTTTTCGAATAAAACTTCGCTAAAATGAAGCTCCACGAGTAGACGGTGACAAGATTCATCTACTTAACTTACTTTTCCTCAATCATCAGGCGCCGTAAGTTCTCTTCAACTGCATCGTAGACATAGTCACCCTCGTTTAGACCACGAAAGATTTCAGCTATTGTCAAATTCCTGAAATGCCGTAGGAATAGATGTCAAGAAGTCGGGGAACTTGGAAAGCAAGCAAGACATAATCCGCTACCCGAGGTCCATATTGTGGAGTTGAATGAACCTCACCCTTCCGTCCTTATCATTAGAGCTTTAATTTTCACCAGTTAGACATCATCGAATCGCAGTGCACTTACGGTAGCTATCTATAAGAGCCTTAATTTCCCATTCCTAAAGATGCGCTAAACGGTTGACTTCCATGTGAAATCGTTTGCTGTACAAGCTTTCGGGAATGAGTCGGTGATCCATTCAGAGGAAATCCTGAAGGCGATTCATCTGTCATCTTATATATATCGGTCCATAGTGTAAGCATAACAAGTGTTCAGCACGGTGTTGCGTATCAGTCCCTGTTAGCCCTCTATAGGAGCTGATGAAGAGAATGAGCATCGCCATCTGTGCGCTTTGTGCGGTTCTAGCCAGGGAGATGTGGTTTCTCAACTGAGCCTCAGGAAGTTAGCAGCACCCTGGAGATGATTACCTCGTTCGAAGAGTTAAAACTCTTCCGGTGCTCCTTCCCTCCCAAGGTTTAGGTGAAAACTGCGTCTCTAACACGGTGTGACATGTAACACCGTGTCAGTTCCTTGCTATACCATCACTGTTATGTGCCTCTACCCTACACACGCACCTCCATCCTCCCTCCCAAATAGTTTTTCACCCCATGCTCCTTCCCGTTGTTCTTTACTCGACTCGGGATTCTTCCTGTTCACGTAACGTCACCCCTTCTTCGAGGCTTCTCGTGATCGGTTCATTCAGGCTTCGAACTTCCTAGATTCTCTTATTGTGCCTGCCCTTCCCAGTACATATCCAAGCCATCGTAAATGCTGTTCCTTCATGTTCAACTGAGCGGGCTATTTGTTTCACCTTCCTGATGTCCTCATTTTGACCTTGTCGGATGGAGTCTACTTGCCTCAATTGCAAGAACAAGAATAATAATATGAAAGATAAGGGCAAGGTCATTGCCATAAACCACTCCTTTTCTTGCACCCTGCATTTGACTTACATTCAGGATTGAAGTGACAAATTGAGATTGGTTGTGATTTTGACTTATGCAATAACTTTTGGTGATTATTCGATGTACAAACCAGTGCTTTTGTCCTCCCAGACGAAAAAATACTGACTGGTACATCGACTGACCACCGCTAATCCTTGTGTCGACCCATACGCATATAATGACTGCTAAAAATTGAATTGCCGAAATTCGAGGACGTCTGTCACTTGATTAGTAAGTTGATCTTCAGTCAGGTTTCGCTCTCCAACTCTCTTTATCACCTTACTGTACAACTCGACTGGTGAAAGAACAATATGTTTGCCAGTTGTTCTTCCATAAATGCTTTTTTGACCGAAATTTCCTGAAGTCCTATCTGATTCTGGAAGGTTCTGCTGTAGCTTTTATCATCCCAGTCAGTACCCCAAAAATTCTAATAGTTGATCCTCTTCAAAATCTTTCTAACATATAGATTTCCTGCGCTTTCCAGAACTAATGTTCCCTGTGGATTGAGGGTCATCCTTTCTGTTTGAGTTGGTAGTATATCGTGACCGCGCTTTTTTCTGGATTTCTGAGCAAAAAACGAGGGAGGATTTCGGGGCCGTTTAGGGTTCAAGGATTCACGCAACAATTCGAACAATGATTGATAATGCCTTTCCAATGGTTGTATAGGCCATGACCTAATCACTCCAATTGTGTTTCACTTCAAAACTATTGGAAATAGTTGACTATGTTCCCGCACGAGTACTACTTATCTTGCTTCTATCAATGAAGTAGAAGCAAAATTCTTCGATATCAAGCTCGTTTGTGAGATGGGCCTCTGCATTCGACTTCCATTCAGAATCGTAAGGGTGGATTGCGTATGTTACGCATACAATAACTTGAAGTAGCTAGCCGATGTATATAAAGTCAGTGCTCTTATACTACCAGGCGAGTGCGGAAAAGATCAACCGACTCCTGAAGGATGGAAGGCTGGATTGGTCTGAATGAGATCGGTCCAGGTTGTGATCCTCGAGCCATGGTTGTATGATACTGCGCCACCTGCTACTGCTCCACTTCCGCTCTTGGCATTCATCTACAATGTGCGTCGTCTTTTAGTCTCATCTCGATAGAGGCAGTTGGAATAAGCCCATTTTCACGTGCCGCACGAGCCCATTTTCGTGCGAACGAAGCTGTGTAGGAGTAGGATTATCTAGTCATGGTGTTTTATAGCCGTCGAAGAAAGTGACATCATTATTATCTCGTTCATCCGCTCTTTCTCAGATTAGAGCCAAAGTCTGTAGAGTAATCCTCAATCGCATGGACTGCGATCTCCTCAGAGCACAAGGATTTTACGTGCAAGTAACATAAGTAACACAACATAACACAATTTTGAATAGGACGACTCATCGAGGAATGAAAATGGCAGCTAGAGGAAGAGAGGAATCCCTTCACGGAGGGCTGGTCGATCCCTTAGAGCTTGTTTATCTATTTGCTTACATGATTGTTTCTTCTGATAGTTTTTCTGGAGTCTACAATAGATAGCAAGAGCGCTAGACCCAATTCAGATCGTCCAGAACAACAAAAGGTCCTATTGGGAACTAGCCTGGTACGATACGCTCTAACCATTCGATTTGGGATAGCAATTGGGTTACAGGGCGATTTTTCGCTGCTACGATAGGTTCATTCGGTCGGGAAATGTCGCCAATGATTCATTTAGGCTTTGTGCTCACAAATTATCATTTTCCATGGTAACCTGACCTAATAGTACATACGTGCCTTTTTTTAGACAGCATTACTATGAGTGGAACAGCCTCTAATGAAGGTGTGGATACTATTATTGTAACAATATTTGTATTATGTGGGCGTCATATAACAGAAGCTGATAGGAGGGGGGACGTTGGACACGCCTACCAACTACATAGCTCCTATCCCCACTAATTACATAACTAAAAACTTCCACAAATCATGATTTATAAGTGGAAACTGGCTATAACTCTTGTTCTCCCATGCAATTCCCCGGGCAAAGTCCTATTTTGATGTGCTCTCGTTAAGTTGTGCTAGGCATTTACCGTTGATTTGGAATGTCTTTTCTAGGATCGCATTTATGAGGCCTGTACCTTTAAAACGTGGGAGCCTCAGTTGCACGCTTACATGGCTAAAAATCGAACCTTCAAGTCAAGCCCTTCGCAGAGGCTACATTAGGGGCACCACAAGGAAAACGCCGATTTGGGGTTAGTATGAAGTGAACTTTGAGTATACTTACCAGAGGTTGCAGCAGAAAAAGCTTGACTCCCACAAATGGGCACGTTTCGAGGTGGGTGGGGTTGTTGGAGCCATCCAATGTTTCCCGTTTGCATACTTATCCCCTAACAAATAGGGAAATAATGACGACCTTGAGGGTTCGCCCCTTATCGTTCGGCTTCTTTATTGCTTTCAAACAGTTTTACATGCAGCTACATGGAATTCCTACATGATCTCATGATTTCAATCCATTAATTTGATTGCCGCACAAGTGAGAGGCTGTAAAGCTTTTGCCACTCTTTTTTATCGGACCCGAAGAGTGTGACATTGAACTCGACTCGCGACGATTCTCATTTAGTTGTCTCGTCACACACCAGGTCTGGGTGTGACACTGGTTAGATGTCTCGCCGTGAAGCGCAATTTTTAGATGCAACGCCTCCTCCATGTGGGAACATTACCCTCCAATCCTGCTTAACTCTAATGACCTTCCGAATCCATTTTGTCTTTCTGGTGTGGTTTTTCATAGGCTGTGTCGGATAGGTACTTTCCTTGAGTGTAAGAGCGGATCGTGGTGGATTCTGAAAAATTCGAAACTTTCTCACGATTTGCTGGGATTTAATCCAGTTTTCGAAAGCCTTCAATAACAATCCAGTGAGAATTCAAATACTATAAGATCATTTTTGGGCTGCCTACGTGGGGATTAGTTGCGATGCGATGAAGTCGACGAGCGAACAATGACTAAGGGTATTCATATTTCTCAGCTGACATTCATCTCAAGGTGATGGCTTCCCTTTGGCAGATTGCACACGTGCCATTCAATGAGACTTATTTTTGTCTCTAGCAAGCACCCAGAACTTTTGCTCTGTTTTTCTGCGGCTCCATCCAGCTCTGCTCAAGGGTATTTCTCAGTTGAAATTCATCTTAAGTCTTCGGGTTTCGCCTTTGCAGAAGATACATTTGTTATCGAGTGTAAAAAAATGTCGGCAAAGGCTAGATGCCTTTCAGAAAATTCGATTTCCAAGTTAGCATGCTCAGCCTTTATTTGTTTCATGCGCCATTTTTTTTTTGGTATTTTTTCCAAATAAAAATTTAGTATTTTAAAGAATGTGATTCTGTTCGTCACAGGAACGAAATGTATCGGAAGACTCATTTTACGATACAAATGGTTTTTAGATGAAATTGGGACTCTCAAGGACAGTCGGCTAGGGAAACGGCATAATAGACCTTAATAGGAGCCCCAAAACCCACTCAGCCGACGTACACACCTAAAGGCGGACGAGTCTCACGGTGTTGTGGGGGCTGCCGAGGATGCACTATTGGCACGGTATCCACACATTACGTGCAGGAAGCTTACTGAAGCCAATGACATACACATTTGGACAACTCGTCCAAATACCCCTTCCTTGTAACTTTAATTGTCGCATTCGCAATCAACGCCTAATCTTTTTACTATTCTGAAGCCTTACATTTCTGTACAAATGCCTATTTTAGCGATTTTTTGCAACCTTTGCCCTATACGTTGCTCAAGATTAGTGCTGATCACAGTTGATAAGTGTTATATTATGGTCACGTGTATTATGAAGCTTAACCGGGATCACTGATTATCGTAAGAGATAATTGGTTATTGATTGGTGATCGCTTGACTGATATCTCCACTTGTCAACCTGCGGTGTAGTGACAAGTAACGCACCACATCACATATGCATGGTCACGGGTTGGCACCCCAGACTGAAACTCGCTTAGAGCATCTGAGCCCTCTACCACACCCTACCAATTCGTACAAGGCCCCTTTGAGAGGATCAACGCACTGACTTGTACATCGACTGGCCATTGTATGCTATTGCATAAGCCACAATCGCATCAAAGCACCACTACGATAATGAATGAAAGTGGGATGCGAGGTGCATCGTTTGAACGGGATCGACTAGCTCCTCGCTAAGTGAAAGAACCCCTCAGGCGACTCCCCGTTTTGGATTATCTTGTCATGTCTTTCTGTTATTCTGTGATAGTGGATGATAATAATATCTTCATCTGATAATCTCTTTCTGAAAAGTCTGAACAGTGATGTCCCACAGAAGAAATGGTAAGCAGTCCATTTGAGCTGCTTATTCGAAACAATAAACCTCTGTTTGTTATCTTCACTTATACGAACGCTTTGAGAGATTAGGGATCTTTGATGTTTTGAAGCAAATTCCTCGATAATCTGAAGCTCACATTTGGAATAAACAGTAGTAAACAACGCAAAGAAACCTTTGATCTGGTATGGTATGACAGCTGATTCTGAGTGTCGTCGTTTTACATCACCAGCTTTGGTCCCAGACCGCTCTGTCTTACATTCATTCATATTGGCTAACGAATGGGATGAAGAGCAAAAAAAGAGGAAGCCAAGGATAAAAGCGAGGGGATAAATAGCTTATAAGCGAACAAATGGACCTCTCAAAGTTTGCAGTTTCTGGACATTATTTGCCCTGCTATATGAGCTCTGAAGTTTTCGCGCTCCGAAGCTAAAAACGGGTCAGTGTGTAACGGGGCAACTGGCATTCTTCTCTGCGTTCCCGTCCTGCGCTACTGGGGTTTGAGTTGGGTTGACTCGAAAGACTCAGGTCCTAATTAACTCACTTCACGAGACAGCTAGCAAAAATTTGCCGCGCTCTGTCACGACTCACTCTCAAATGAGTTTCGACCTTCCATCCCTATAGGAAGTGACTTCGAATCCAGGTGTGCGAGGTGTGCATCTGCGTTCGAGAAGTGCCCCTTTCGAGCAAGGAGAGCTCAGAGAGACAGCAGAAATGTGACCTATCTGCTTTTTTTACCACTGGGCTAAGTGGTAAAGATCTGTCTGATGGTCTGAGCTTCTCGTAGGCGATTTTGAACCCTTTTCTGAGCCTTTTCCAAAACCTCCAGATAGCCATTCCAATAGCCAATAGCGGTTATATGAGTACCGTGCACGCTACGCACGCCTGGGTTTCATACTATTTCTCCCCACTTTTTAGCTAGTGCACCGAAAAAACAGAGCTACAACCTAACAACCTAATAACCTAGCAACCTAATGAGCCATTTCATGAGCGTTCTTGATGAAGGTTTTTTTGGTTGCTTCATTTCGGAGCCGTTCAATCCCGCATTGTGTTTTTCACAAGTTACCATTCATCTCCATAGCGAATCATTTTTATGGTGTTCTCTGGCTAGCAGGATTCTCAAGATGTGGGAGGAGGTGCGGGGGTAGAGGGGGGGGGGGGGGGGGGGGGGGGGGGGGGCGATCCATTGACAATTTTCAGTTGACGGTAGTTGTCCTATCGTCTATCTTTTGAAATTTTTTTGTGCTTCAATGTTCGCTAGAAGCGTCCCTATGTACTGTAGGATTACTAACATTTTTTTCTGCGTCCCTAACCTTTCACTGTTGGACAGCAGACGGGAGGGCATGATGTCTAAATCGTCAATAGTAAGGCCTCTTCAGCAAGTCATTGGTGATTTTCCGAATTCGATGAGGGAACTTCAAAAAAAAAAAGCTTTCCGCCGAGGAGCCCACAGTGATTCTGACGTAAAAATCCCCAGTTTTTTTCCACGAGCTTAATCTCAAGGCTCTAGACAAAGCTGCTTATCTGCTATGCCTTATAAGGAAGTGATCCTACTATGGGGGCTAACTTTTGTAGGAATCTCCTTTGCACGTCTCAGGATTACAATGTTGTTAGCCGTTTATACGCCCACATACATCTTCCCGATTAGCCTACGTCAAGGAAAGCCCCAGCGCTTGCTTGGGTGTGTCACATGACCCGAGCGGAACGCCCCTTTCGACGCGTCTGCCGCGCGGCGGAAATACGTTCTGCTCGTCTGTGCCCTCTCAGATTTATGTGATTTCAGATAGGACCTAAATCACCACAAAATGCAGTATCTATCGATTGTAACCCATAATCGATAATTTTGATCTATGATGATTGATTCTCATTCTTTTAATAAGATGGTTCTAACGAACTCAGAAAAAAAGTCCATTGAATAAGAGTAGGGTCTATCCATCGAGATAGCCTATTGATAACCTTGTCTGACGTTCTACCGGAGGCATATCTGGAAATGAATGGCGCATCTTATATCTAACGTGGAGCAACATTTGTCAAAATCAATCAGCTGTGGAAAACAATTTTGAGCTCAAGGGTACTGTATCTTCTTGCCTACGCAAGTGCACAACGTACATGAATATGCCGGGAAACTCGCCCATAAGTTCCATTGGGTGCGATGCAGGCGTGCAATGATGCGAATCGGCTAACCTAAGCGGATCATGCTTCTGCATTCGGAGCGATTTTGTTGTTTTTCCATTATAAGCGAATTGCTTTGCACCAACGTTCCTAATCATTGCCACGCCTATGATACATTGGATTATTGTAGACATGACACTTCTTGATCACTCTCTCTCTATGTATCTCTCTCTCGTTTCCTCACCTTTCTTCGCATTGCCTCTCTAACTGACTGACTGACTGACTGACTGATTGTCTGTCTGTCTGTCTGTCTATCTGTTTGTCTGTCTGTTTGTCTTCATTTTGCTAGACAGTTTTCATGCCCAAGCCATACGCAAGGGCTCAGCCTGATCTTAATTCACTTTAAACGGCTCTGCAGAGAGCTTCGGATGAATTTGACGCTACGTCGCTGTTTTCCTAATCCTTCATGAGCATGCCTGGAAGAAATGGCGCACTCAGTCTAACGAATTCATTCATACTTACTCGGCCTTTCCAGACAGTTGGAGTATTTGTAGTCGATTCTCTCTTGAGTTGTTCGCATTGTTTTTGCTTGGTTACAGTAGTATGCCGCCCCCTGTGGATCTTCACTGGTGCATATAAATTGTATATAGTTGAGAAATGGCATAGTTCAGGCATCTCAGAAGAGTTACCGTAATCATATCGACTAATTTGAGGACCGCTACCCTTTTGACGGTGATGTATTCAAGATGTTATTCACAGAAGCCTGTTGTTTTCCTTTTAAGGCAGTCAATTTCGACAAGTAGTGAAGCCCCTGCGGGAGCTCCTCACTGTTTGCCACAATATTTTGTCAAATCAGGCTTCCATCACCTTCGAAAAACAGGTTGCAGCTGAACTATCCTGCTGCAAACTGTTCCTCAAGTGGTACATGGGAAGTCAAAGGGGTTTTAGGTGTTCTGGCGGGTTTGCGTAATATCTTCCTCGTTATTCGTCCTTACGGAAGTTCCAGGAAGTGAAACATGAGCTCAGTCTTAGATTCATCAAGTTCTCATGCAGCAGATCTGTGATGAACCGATTAGACTCCAAGATTTGAGAGAACAAGTAATTTGGTACGTCAGAAGGGCTTCTCGTAGATGCGCCATGCATTGACTCACGTACGCAGTTGGTTAAGCGTTTGAATACGTTTCAGTGCTTACATTCGTTCCTGACAGTCGACCAATGAAGAAATTCTTGGATTCGTACTTGTCCTAGGTATTTAACGATATCATCATTTTTATTGAAAATTCATCGATCAATAGATCAATAATGCTTCGGATGCCAACCGATTATCGAAATAGCTAAGGGTTCCTAGTAATCAATCCTTCATCACAGTTTTGATCGGTGTCAGGTAATGTTACCAGGTAGAGAGGCGGTTGGTTTTGCTCTGTCTGAGATCGATGTAGTCAGCCTCCAGATGTCTAGTTGGTTGTTATTATGGAGCTGTACCAGCACCCATGGTAAAGTAGATACAAGAGTGTGTGAGAACAATTAATTTTGAATTTTTTATTGAAAGAAGCTATGAGCAAGATTTACAATTTGTACAAACGACTATTTTTTTAGGCCTTGTTTCGGGCCATCTTTTTCACCACCGCCCTTTGCTTGTGCACTCGTTGCCTGTATCCTCCTGACTTTTCAGAGTATGCTGTAAAAATAAAAATTAGAAAATCACCAATTTCCTATCTTTTTTGATTTGGTAATGTAAAACAAGGACATTCCGAATAATTTCTAATGAAAGGATTCCACTTACATGCTGGTGGACCTGCTGGTGCGGCAGGAGGACTGTAAGGCATAGGAGCTGGAGCTGGGGCAGGTGCCGGCTCCGGTGGGCTATATGGAGCTGGAGCTGGTGCTGGTGCTGGTGGGCTGTACGATTGTGGCATCATTGGTGGTGGTGCAGCTGGCATAGGTGGTGCTACTGGAGCTTGGTAAGATGGTGCAGTCGCATAACCTGGAAAGAGAATTTAGAAGATTTCACAGAAGATAGAAATTTCGGAAGTAGTCAATTCATTACCTCCTTTACCGCCTCCTCCACTGTAGCTTCCTCCACCTCCGCTGTAGCTTCCTCCACCTCCTCCCATTCCTCCGCCGTAGCTTCCTCCTCCTCCACTGTAGCTTCCTCCTCCGCCGCTGTAGCTTCCTCCTCCTGTGCTGTAGCTTCCTCCGCCTCCTCCCATTCCTCCGCCGTAGCTTCCTCCTCCTCCACTGTAGCTTCCTCCTCCCATTCCTCCGCCATAGCTTCCTCCTCCGCCGCTGTAACTTCCTCCACCGCCGCTGTAGCTTCCTCCTCCACCGCCGCTGTAGCTTCCTCCTCCTCCTCCGCTGTAGCTTCCTTTACTCATTCCTCCGCCGTAGCTTCCTCCGCCGCCGCTGTAGCTTCCTCCGCCACCACTGTAGCTTCCTCCGCCTCCGCTGTAGCTTCCTCCGCCGCCACTATAGCTTCCTCCTCCCATTCCTCCGCCGTAGCTGGGTGCAGGTGCATAGCTGCCGCCACCACCTAAAAGACAAGCCGTTAGTTTGTCTAAGCGTAAAAGCTAGAAAAAGCCCTATCCTTCTCTAATTGGAGGATTTTGAGTCTCTTCGTCATAAAGTCTCTGAGAAAATCCTACCTCCACCACCGGCGTAACCGCCTCCACCAGAATAACCTCCGCCGCCAGAATAACCTCCGCCACCTCCAGCGGAAGCGTAATGGCTGAAATTATAATATCTATTACAAGAAGGCTGTCGAATAATAAATGCTTACCAGTGAGCCGAGACGAGGAGTGCTGTCAAGTAGATGCTTCTCATTGCAATGAGATGGTTGTGCTGACTCCTCGGGCTTCTCTGCTTTTATATAAGCTTCTCCGTAAGGTCATTCACTGAGAATCGAGTTTTCCAGTTGACAAAATGCTAATAGTAACGCCATGCCTATGGGTGTTATTCAATGCTGTAACCTTGACGCAAACTATTTGCCCCGCCGTCACACTGGGCGCATTGTCTGCCACCCGATAATAGTAGGGCGTAATTCGCTGACAGTTTGCATTGATGGCCTGATTGATGATGACAAAAGGGCGACGAGTAACAGCTACCAGTGTTTTCTGTGAACATCGTTCCATATCATCATGATTAGTGCATGTTCTCGTTGACTGTTTACTTCTTGGGTTGTTTTTGATAGTTATCTGTCTTCGAAATATGTCGTAGGTGGCTGTTTACCTACAGAAGTTGTTATAGGTGGTTGACCACCTGTGGAAATGTCATGGGTACTTGTTTACTTACAGGTGGTGTGGTGTAGTGGGGGCTGTCCACCTATAGGTAGTGTCATGGTTGGCTGTTTCCCTACAGAAGGTGTCGTCTGAGATGTTTACCTACAGAAGTCTTCGTGGGCAGCTGCCTACGGGTGCTGATAACTTTGAATTACAGTAATACGAATACACTTCTTAAAATGTATTTATTCACCATAATCTACGGTTTTAATCAACCATACCACTGAGTATTTATTTATTTATTCATTTGTTTACTTATTTATTCATTTATTTATTATTTTGTACCTTGTAATATTTATTTTTGGCTTTTTAGTGACCTACCTTTANTACCTTTAGTATTGATGAAATGAATGCTGATAATGATGCAGAAGAGTTTTTTTTACAAAACGATGTTTTGTTTACTATTTGAAATTTTTGTTTTATTTACCTCCTGTGAAGTGCTTTGATCAAACCATGAACTATTAGAATACCTGTGCCTTCGATGCGGGAATGAACTCGCCGCAGGTGGCGTTGCTTCCAAAGACAAGTTGCTAATCTGGGCCAAATCGGTCCAGTTTTGCACCCTAGCGGGCTTCGTTACTCGTAAAAAACTTGTTTGGAAAATCGGTACGATCGTACTTCACCTGAGCTAACCATGGGAAGTCTTTGTCTGGGTGGAATACACACTGGCAGATCGTAGGTAGCGAATTAGACGTTATACCCTAAAGCGGAACGAAGAATTAATCGCCTGGGCCAAACTGATGTCCTTTTGAAATATCTGAAGGGTTAAATGAAAATGGTTGCAAAGGATTGATAATCAAATTTAGCTTATTTCGATTCCACGGTACCAGAATTGTCTTGGAGGGTAAAAAACATCGAACTTGTACCTCACGGGGGTGATGTAGGCCACACATGCATTTAAAGGAACTCTGAAAGGCAGATTTTGTCCATTCTTGTCACAATCATTTTCGTTTTTGATACCCATAAGAAAATCTTATATTTCTTCAAAATGCGTTCACAGTGGCTGAATATCAGAGTTGAAGGGTAGTGAAACTAATCAAATGGAATTTCTTTCATGGAGTTCAGGAATCGGAGGAAGCACGGGGGGAAGTTGTGAATTCGGGAGAGTTGTAAAAAACATTTCAACTTGTGAACGCCATCAGAGAGATTCAGGAAGAGTCCTTGAAAAGTTTTGGAGAAACAGAACCTTGACCCTTTTCACTTTTTTCCTACATGGTTCGTTTGGCCGATCGTTTTCGTCTTATAACCACCACTGACCTACAATAAGATTCATATGAGATAGTTTGAAATGCCCCGGGGGTAATTCAAACGGCCTGCCCTCTGTTCGATAGGTCTGAGACAGAATTCTGGCTCATTTGTTGTTGTTGTTGTTGTTTTTGTGTGTGTTTAGTTGAATCTGTTCAGAAACAGTTACAACTAAACTCACTCAAACAATAACCAATCTCTCAGATTCCATGTCATTTGCCATAATAATCCTTGGCTTCAGTCCCAGTGAATACAGCAGTATCAAATAGATAATATTAAAGCCTTTACCGTTTGTTTCACGGGCAAGAATTTGGTATTGGGCTAAATTCCTACCGTAATCCCACTGTTGCTATTATTCCTAATTAATTGTCGCGAAATGTGGTGATGTCAGTTGCGTACTTCGTAATATAAAAAACGGCAGGATTACGGTAAGAATCTATGTCCGGACTGAGTTTTAACTTTCAACACCGTTTTTTCGCTAGAAAAGATCCCACCAGAAGCTGATTCAGCCTTGTCCAGCGGAGGGCAAGAGTGATCGGCTGCCGATGGACGTTATTCCTTCAGCACAGCTGGTCCTTGG